TCAATAAATATTTGTTGAATGTGAAAAAAAAAGAACAAGTGTGATCTATGAGAGAATGTTAGATATAAGGCAAACATTAACTCCAGAGGACAGTTCAGGAGAGCCCTTCCTTGTGAGCAAGGTCCAGAGTAAATTATAGTAAGGACAGAGTAAACGAACATCTAGTATTCCAGTGAGGAGATGGAAATATGACAGGGAGTGAACGATTGGCTAGCGAAGCCTAGTCTACAGTTGATTTATTAGTATTATCATTGGCTTTCATCTAAATTCTCAACCACCTATGGCCACAGCTAGTTAATTTTTGTTTTAAAAAGTTTACATCCTATTTCTTAGTTGTAAGAGTCCTTGTTCACACTTTTTTACTATCTTGGTTTACATGATCCTAAAGGACTAAGCTTCTTGCAAAACTGTAAACCGCTGTACCTGCCCTACTGTGGGCAGACTTTTCATTCAGCCCACAGAACCCGGCTGGATCTTACTTCTAACCCTCACCAGCCCTGCTCCTTGTCCCCCCAGTGTTACCCACCAGGTGTCCAAATAATTAGTGCCCCTCCATGAGGCAAGTCACATTCCGTGATAGGGACAGGACTCCTTGCTCAGCAATCTCGATGGGAGAACACCTGAAGTCTGCAGAAAGTTTACCAACTGTGTACATTTTGAAGGCAGATATCACAAGTCCACACTTTGATGCACTCATGACCCACTCGATGCCAGGCACTTATCTGGTATTTTCAGATTCATTATACCATTTAATCCTCAGATCAACCCAGTGAATCCCAATCACTATCCCCATATTTAAAATGAACATGTTGACACAGAGGGATGATAAAATATGCCCCGGGTCACACATCTAGGAATTGGCAGGCCAGAAGAGTTCATCAACAAAATACACTCCCACTATACATGTCCCATACCATTTTGACCCTCCGTGACCCATTATCCACAGAAAATGCCCAAGATGGATGCTGCACTTCCAACCTGGGGGGATGATGGGAGGCAACAGTGAGAGGAGTTCTGACTCCCCTCCTTGGCAGATACCCAATCTTAGGCAATTTAATAAACCTCTCTAAGCCTCTGCTATGTCCTCTTAAAACAGGGATCATAACAATACTGACTCTGGAGGGTGTTTGTGAGGGTTAAATAAGATAATGACTGGGAAATACTAAGCACACTGAAGAGCTCTAACAGAGCCATTATGATTCTGCACGCTGGGTGGCAGGGCTCCTTGCTAGATTTGGGGAGGTGCACCAGACAGGCTGACGCTACCAAGTCAAGACATCAAGACTTAAGGACTTAAAATGTTCCAATTAGATATCCAGGCCATATCATCGTTCTATCACCCTGAGCTTTTGACCCTCCCCACACTGGTGCCATGGACACACGGAGTACCCACTTTTCCATTATTGCTCTATTACCAAAGCCCAGCCTCTGCTTATCCTCAGGAGTGGCCCCCTCTACTCATCCTCGCCCTTTATTTAGCACACAAAGCTGCAGTTTGAGCTAGCAGTTAAAGAACTCAGTACTGGAATCCAGAAGAAAGGACAAAGGCAGCCCACAGATGCTAGGGCAGACTCAATTCCAGCCATTTCTTAGGAAAGAACAAAAGTCAACAGCACAGGCATTCACTCTAGAATACCAGGCCTGCTCTTCAGGTGGGTTCCTGCCTCCCTGGGATATGTGAACCCACAGAATAAATATGACCCAGCTAAATTCCAGAGAATTGGCTCTACCTGCAGATTTGGGAATGCAATTAAATTAGTAAAGTGCTAATCTAAAATTTAATGTTTATATTAAAAAATATGGAACAGAATGCAGAATTTGCATTAATTTAAAATAATAGGATTTTTAACAAATCATAATTTATGGAGGTCCAATTCGGGTAGGACCCCATACCTCTAGGTGTTTTTCATGCTCACTTTCTTATGCCCTTTAAGGAGAATATAATGGGAAAGTTGTCAGCTTTTTTTTTTTTTAATGGCACTCTTTAATGAAATTAAACCCATTTCTGCTGACAAAGTCCTATCCAGGACCTTAAAATCACATAAACTCATGTCTTGGAAGATGCAAGAATTTGGCTGCTAATGGTTCCTCTTAATATTAATCAAAGGGAAAGTTTTAAAAAGACACCCATCCTTAGATGGGTAATTGACCAATTTAAATATTTTATGAAATCACATTTTCACATAAAGTTGACAGTTTTCAATTCTGTATTACAGGATCTTGTCAACAGTTTTATTACAGCTGTGTTCCTTTTAATAGTTGCCATCTTGGCGATGCAAGAAATGGAAAGAAGGCACTTATTCTATGTTGGAGGGGTAAGTTGAAACCTTCATGAGCCCCTTTAAGATTAGTATTTCAGGGGTACCTGGGTGGCTCAGTCAGTTAAGGGTCCAACTCTTGGTTTCGGGTCAAGTTGTGATCTCGGGGTCATGGGATCAAGCCCCTCATCGGTCTCAGTGCTTGGCGCAGAGTCGGCTTGAGATTCTCTTCCTCTCCCTCTGCCCCTCCCACTTGCTCTTGCTCTCTCTCAAATAAATAAATAAATCTTTTTTTTTAAAAATCAGTATTTCAAAACTCTTTGCAAAGGGAAACTAGCAGACCATCATTAAGATGTAAAGTTGCATAAGCTCTAAACTCATAAAAATCTTCATTCTAATACTCATTCTCCAAATAGGTACAAACTCCCCTTTCGAGAAACGTACACACTATTTTTTGAAATGTTGCAACAAGGTGTTCTTGTCTATAAATAGGACTTTGACTCTTCTGGACTAGAGATTTATATTTTAAAAGCACATAAATAGGAAAAAAAGAAAAGTACATTGTCAAAAGTGAATGGCCCAGTAGGAAGGAAGGAAAGAAGGAAGGAAGGAAGGAAGCTCCCAGCATGTGCCACACACATGGCCAGGCATGTTTTGACTTAATTTTTACAATTCTCATTTTTACAGATATGAGAACTGAGGTTAAATACTTTGCCCTGGCTCACAACCCTGGGACAAGCTGGGACTCAAATCCCCGTCATATGAAGAGCACAAGAAATGGCAGATTAAATGCTCTGAAGATGAAGGGTGGGAAGTGGGGAGGTGAAACTTTGGTTCAAGAAGTTAAGCAATGCGAACAAAAATTAATCCAGAAAAAAAAAAAAAAAAGCTTGACTTCTTTGAATTCATTCCATAATCAGTAAATATTTGCCAATCCCATTGGATTGTGCCAGGCCCAGGCTTAGTGTTGGGGATAGAGTCCCTTATCCCTGTAGGAGCCCACAGATTAGCTAGGGCAAGACCTACCTAGGGAAAATTCATTCAAGCATCCAGGGATTAAGTGACGGTGAAGAGAAACATCCAGAGCTGGCAGGATATGGGAGGCACCTAGAATCTTGGGTGCTATGCGCTGCTGGTCCCCATCTGCTAACTCAGACACCAAGCCTTCTCCTACCTGCCAGGGGCTCCCACCATCTGGACCCCATCAATTCTTACTTGGATGACAGGAGCCCCCACCACACCCCACTGGTGTCCCTGCCTCCTCCAGTCCTTTTCACCTCATGGCTTACTGCAAGTGGGCTTTCTGACTCTGGCACCTGATCTCTCCTCTCAATAAAGTGCCCAATTCTGCACTTCCTAGCCTCAACTCTGCCCCCTCCCTCACCAGCTCCAGAGGTCTCAGCCACACCACACTCCTCAGAGACCCCTGTCCACGATCTGAAGTTCTCTTCCTCCCAGTTGGTCCCCTTGGGAACTCCTTCCTGCCCTTTTCAAACAAAGCCCAGGAGTCCTTTCTACTGAAGGGCCTTCTCAGGACCTCATACCTATCTGGAGCCTCCTACAGCCAATACTCTTCTCTGGTCCTTTCCTGCTGCCTCAGGCATCAGGCAAGGTCATTAGTGGCAGCAAAACCCACCATTTCCAAAATCCCTTGCCCAGCAAATCGCAGAATGTGCCACAGCTGTCAGCTAGGCAGACACCAAATAGGCAGTGCTGGGTCAGAGGGGGATAAGCGGCCACCTGCAGCCCCCTGCCTCCTGGGATGGGATAGGGAAGACAGGTTGCTGCTGAGCTGCAGAATAACCCAGCCTTTCCTCCCCGTATCTTGTGTCTGACAGACCCAGTGTCTCACAGCGGCAGTTGTGTGTATCCTGGATGGGATTATGGTCACCAAGAAGATAAGGGATAAAATGAGAAGAATGCTGGGACTCGAAATATGAAAGCAGTTCCCCCCTGCTCCTGGAACCGAAGAAGTCAGGACCCACGCCGGCGCCCGGGAAAGCGGGCACGCCGGGATCCTCCAAACCACCCACGCCGGCAGCCTCAAAAGCTCCCGTGGCGGCACCCGCGAAGGCACCTGCGAAAGCACCCACACAGGCCCCCACCTTGGATGCCAGGCGCACCTCCACCCAGGGATCCTCGAAGGCATCCTCACCGGCATCCTAGCTGCCACCCTCGTGGACAGGAGCGTCTGTGCCTCGTCCCTCCCGCTAATCCCCCCACTGAGCTTGCATGCTGTCACCTGTCCGGCCCACACGCGATCATAAAATCAGGGCTGCTAAATCGAGAACATTTCCGCTTTCTCGTGTTGCCTTGTGTAAAAGTCGAGCTACCTTTTTCGCGGCCGCTGCGCCCCGCGCGGCGCGGGACGAGGCTGCCCCAGAGGGCCGTGGCGAGGGCCTTGACCCCGCGGGGGTTCCCGCCCACGCGACCGGCCCACGGCTGGGGGAAGGGGGGCGGGGGCTCCCGCGTGGGGGGGCGGGGGCCCTGGAGGCAGCCGGCCCGGCACCCACTGGGGTCCTCGCGGTGCGACCGGGTCGGCCCGGAGCCAGGTGAGGCGGCGCGAGGAGACGCGGCGCGCGGGGCAGCGCCAGGCACTGGCGTTCGCCGGCTCCTGGCAGTTGGCTGAGCGGGACCTCTGGGCGGGTCGGTGGGCACCAGGCTAGCTCAGAGGCCAGGCCTATCCGGGGACAGCAGGAGAGATCCGGCAGGCGGTGAGAAGTTAAGAACTCCCACGGAAAGATGGCTGACAAAGGCAAAAAGGGCAAAGCGGCCGCCTCGGCGCCGGCAGCTGAGCCGCCGGCAGCTGCGCCCCCGGCGCCGGCAGCTGCGCCGCCTGCGCCCCCGCCCCCTCCGGCGTCATCGGACCCCAAACTCCAAGACAAGAAAGACCAGGGGCCCAAGAAAAAGGATAAGTCAGTGCAGCCCAAGGATGAAGTGGGCATGAGGAAGGGGTGTCGCCGCTACAAGTGGGAACTCAAGGACAGCAATAGAGAGTTTTGGGTTATGGGGCACGCTGAGGTCAAGATCCTGAGCTTGGTAAGTTGGTCTGGTACCCCTGGCGGGGGGATGGGGGTCCAACGATGGGAAGAGGGAGAAGGAGCAGGCTCCAAAGGGGCTCGGGAAGGGTTGTAGAGCCAGTAAGAGCCCTCTGCCGTAGCTCAGGTGCATGTCTCCCAGCAGGGCTGCCTAATAGCTGCACTGGTAATGTTCACGGGGACCACCGTGCACCCTCTCCTGACACTCATCATCACCATGGAGTTGTCCGTCTTCTGCTTCTTCTTCATTATCTACACCTTCGCCATCAACAGATACATGTCCTTCATCCTGTGGCCTATTTCTGTAAGTGAGAGGAGGTGGGGAGTGCCTGCGGCAGGGATGCATTCATGCGTATGTTTTGGTACCTGGAAGTGACTGAACAGAGAGACATGCGCCACCTTCCACATTAGTGCCCAGGGCATGGGCTCAGCACGTCGGGTGGGCCAGGGTAGGGGCAGCTGCAGGTAGGTAGAAAAGGCAGCTTGGGGGTTGGGGGGCGGGGTGGGCTTCTTACCTATCTGGTGGTCAAAGGAAGAGGTCCTTGCTTTCTGGAAGCTTTGCTCTCCATGGGAGCAGGGGCCGTATAGCAACCAGCTGTTCCTTCCACTTCTGTGCCAGCTCACACTTGAGTGTGGAGAGATCACCCCAAAACGTACCCCATCTCCAGGATTCAAAGAAGAAAACCAATCTTCCAATAAATCAGTAAAATAAAATGAGAATTTTAAAGAAATCCCTTCTAAAGCAGTCTTAGATCTCCAGTGACTTTCCCTGTAAAGGATGTTAAGCATAGGGGCGCTGGGTGGCTCAGTCAGTTGAGCATCTAACTCTTGATTTCAGCTCAGGTCATGATCTCGGGGTTGTAAGATCGAGCCCCTGTAGTGCTCTGCACTGGGCATGGAGCCTGCTTAAGATTTTCTCTCTCGTTCTCCCTCTGCCCCTCCTCCATGTGAATGTTCTCTGTCTCTCTCTCTCTCAAAAAAAAAAAAAAAAAAAAGGATGTGAAGTCCAAAGCAGTCATCCACTGCCCTCTGTTTCCTTCATCTGTAACATGAGGACAGTAATAATCTCTCATGCAATTGTGCCTGAGAAATAAATGCAAAGTGCTTGATGCTGTGCCTGAGGACTCAGGGCCTTGAATCCCTGGACATCACCTGTGTGATCACAGAGTGCACCCACCTAACTTCCATCTCACTGCACATTCACAGTGTACCTCCAGGGCACTAAACTCAGGGTTTCACTCACCTTACATATGAAAGGTCTCAGGAGGGCCAAATCACGTACCCCCAGGTAACTCAGCTAGCAAGTGGCAGAAAAAGGATTCAAACCCAGCTTTGTCCATAGATTCTGAGTCCCTAACTGCACTCAGTTCTGCTTCCTTATCAAAAGCGACTAAGGCCCAGGGATTCATAGGTCTCAGCAGTGTAGGTGAGGACCCCCAATATAGGGAGAAAGGAGGAGAGGACCAAATAAGACTCTTGGGAGAGGGATAAGCGGAGGACAAAGTAAAGGGAAAGCCAAGGAACTTGAGAAGATACTTTTAGTTCCAGCAAAATGAAGAATCAATAAACCCTGAAAATCCTCCTACTGCACCTATCTAAAACTACTAGGAAAAATGTAAACACAACTGCAGTAGATGAATGTCTGAGCCGGCAGGAAAAAAAAAAAAAAAGGAGACACACAAGTGCCAGAAATGAAAAACAGGAGTGGAGCTCAGTCCACTGTTGGAGTGTGGGTAGGACTGGCCCATGAAGTATTGCCCCCAGGAAGCAAGAGTGTGGATGTGCATACACTCTTCAGTTAGCAGAGGTGAGGCTTTGGTCCTGAGCAAGATGGGGATTCAGAACTGAGACCCCTGCATAAGGCAGCACCCTGCAAAGACAGGGAGAAGACAGGCAGAGAAGACATAGGAACAAGAAGCCATGTTCAGCTCTGTCTGAGCTTTGAGTGGGAAAAGAAAAGGGAAAGGAAAGGAAAGGAAAAAAGAAAGAAAGAAAGAAAGAAAGAAAGAAAGAAAAGAAAGAAAGAAAGAAAAAGAAAAAAGAAAAGAAAAACCACCTTGAGAAATAGAAACCTTGGGCCTGAATTTTGTACGGACTTGGTTTGAATTGTTAACTACTTTCATCCTGGAAACCTTCATGCAGCCTAGAAAACTTGTGCCTGGGAATTAGCATAAAATCGGATCCTAACTTAATGATGTTCTGATGATGTCCCTGGGACTCCTGACAGAAACAAATGCAAAGTCCCAGTCAAAGCATAAAGAGGTTCTCACAGGACAGGTGGGGGCAGGGGGCTTGCCAAGAACGAACTCACAGTCCAAAACTACAAGACACCTGATTTTAAAATCCCCATGTCCAGGAATTGAGAATCAGCAAACACAAAAAATGGGAGGATTAAAACCCTGAGAATATGAGATTAATAGAAGAGCTGTCTGAAAATAATAAGAAATACACTTAAAATAATTAAAGATATAAACAGAACTCTAAGAACAGAATAAGACATTCTGAGGACAGAATAAAAAGATCTTTTTTAAAGTATAAAATATAATATCTATATTTTTAAAGATTTTATTTATTTGACAGAGAGACAGAGAGGGAACACAAGCAGGAGAGCGGGAGAGGGAGAAGCAGGCTTCCCACAGAGCAGGGAGCCCGACGTGGGGCTTGATCCCAGGACCCTGGGATCACAACCTGAACCAAAGGCAGATGCTTAACAACTGAGCCACCCAGGCGCCCCTAAAATATAATATCTAGAATTAAACATACAGTTATTGAAATAAAAATGTCAATAAATGGGTTATAAAGCATATCAGACAAAGCTGAAGAATTAGCAAACCAAATGATGTGGGGAAATTACCCAGAATATGGCAATGAGAGATAAAGAGAGAAAATATGAGCAAAGTTGAGATAGAGAAAATGGATTGAGAAAGTCCATCATTAGCCTAATAGGAATTCCAGAAGAAAAGGCTCAAAAGAATGGAGGAGGGGAAATACTCAAAGTGAAAATGACTGAGAACTCTCCAGATTTAATGAGTGACATCACTAAAAATGGCAGAGTTGTGAACGCCAAAACTCTGTCTCTCCACTAAAGCAACACTGACAAAAACTGTCAGAATCAACCTTTTCAGAACTCTGGAATCTAATTTAAAAAAACTTATGGGACGTCTGTGTGGCTCAGTCGGTTAAGCATCCGACTCTTGGTTTCAGCTCAGGTCGTGATCTCAGGGTTGTGAGATTGAGCCCCTTGTCAGACTCCATGCTGGGCATGGTTAAGCATCTGCCTTTTGCTTGGCTCATGATCTCAGGGTCCTGGGATCAAACCCCATGTTGGGCTCCCTGCTCCCTTCTCCCTCTCCCTCTGCCTCTCCCCCAGCTTGTGCTCTCTCTCTCTCTCAAATAAATAAAATAAAAATCTTAAAAAAAAATAAAACCTTACAACAACTAGGGGAATGCTTAATGAAAAAAGAAGCTGTTGAATTTGGTAAGAGAGTCTTGTGGCATTTTAATGTACCTACCCACCAACCCTCACATCCTAGCTTGTCCATAGCCATGAAGACAATAGCCCACATTCCTGGCCACATTCCTTGCTGGTAGCAGAGGGAACAATACAGACCTTGTTCTCAAAAAATTATGATTGTGTGTTTTTACCTGTCTGGTGGCTCCTTGAGGGATGGGCCCAGGAACTTGACTTTGTTTCACCTGCCACAGAGCTTTGTCAGAGCTGAAGCAGCCTCCTTTAAAGGCATATCTACTAACCATAACCACCTGAGGCAAGGGAAATCAGATGAGGCAAGCAATAGACCAGAAGTTTGGGAAGGAAGAGGCTAGGGAAGGAGATTCAGTGGGGAATAAGAGCTTTGAAAAGCTACCACACATACCAGGGAATCCAGAAGGCCATACACATGCTGAGGGCTGGACACACACTCACAAAAGACCCTAAACTTTTGCACCTTGCTGACCTTTAGGCTCTGCACAAGCAGCAAGTGAAAACAGAGTTCTAAACAGCCTAGACAAGTGTTGAAGGAGTGCCTCAACACAAAGCCAACTTGCAAAGACTGGGAGAGTATTTTTGTTTGTTTCTGGATATTTAAGGAAATCTCTTTCATATCACTACCTGACCATTAAGCTAGTGAAACAGGGACTTCAGTGGTAGCACTGGAAGAATACAGTCTTTTAAAAAAACAGTTTAGAAAAAAAGTCATTAAATATAAAAATGCCTATACCTCACAACAATTAGCAACAACAAATCCTGGAGAGGGAGAAGAATATGATTTACAAAGTCACTATATTGTAGTAATCAAAATGCCCAGAATTATAAAGCATGCAAAGAAATAAGAAAGTATGGCCCATTCGTGGGGGAAAAAAATTAATAGAGACTGTCTCTGAGAAAGCCCAGATATTAGGCTTACTAGACAAAGAGTTTAAATCTGTTATCTTAAAAATGCTTAAAGAACTAAAATCAGGGGAACAATTCATGAACAAGGAGAAAATATCAGTAAAGAGAAATTATAAAAAGGAGCCAAAAGAAATTCTGGAGCTGAAAGTAATATAACTGAAATGAAAAACTGATGAGATTAATTTAACAGTGGATTTGAGCAGGCAGAAGAATGAATCTGTGAACTTGAAGATAGGTCAATTGAGATTATCCAGTCTGAGGAACAGAAAGAAAAAAGGAATGAAGAAAATTGAAGAGACCTGTGGGGCACCATCAAGTATATTAAAATATGCTGAATCCCAAAAGAGGAGAGAGAGAAAGGGGAAGAAGGAAAATTCGCAGAAATGGTTAAAAACTTTCCAAATTTGATAAAAGATACAAATCTGCACATCCAAAAAGGACCAAGTAGGATAAACTCAAAGGGATACACACTGAGACACATTATAATCAAACTGTCCAAAGACAAAGACAAGGTCTTGAACGTCACAAGAGAAAAGCAACTAATTTCGTACAGGCGATCTTTTTTTTTTTTTTTTTAAATATATCAAAAAAGGAAACATCAAATTTAATTTAAAGGAAAAAAATCAGAAATTGAGAAAACAACAGAACAAATCAATTCCTGAAAAAAAGAGTTCTGCATCTTGGTGATCACATTTATTGAAAGGGTTGGAAAAAAATTAAAATGCCCTTTAGCTTAAGAATTTTTTAGTTATCCGCAAATCAACTCGTTTCAGGAGTGGAAGAATCCTTGGTCATTTCTTAATATCAAAATTTACGCAGGTTTCTCTTTTGAATGTCTTCTACATTTAAAGAGGCAATCACACAAAAGCTCCTATATTCCATACATGATAAATTCTTTGTTTCAGCCAACT